AATGATTTCAAACAAAGCTACACAACAATGAAAAAAATTTCGGTCTACTCAGCACGCTGGTTGTAACTGATAGACTGCGACCAAATACTCAGGGCAATCTCTCCGGAAAGTTTACTAAGTGTAAATGTGTGGAAATTATATCTGTTGGCAGATAGCAGCCACATCCAGTGTATAACTAACAATACAGTTTCTAAAAGGTGAATGAATGCGGACTAACCCCTGTCACACTGGCCAGGAGTGAGGAAAAATACTCGCCAGCAATGATATTTGTTGTAATCAATTGCACAAAAATCACGAATCCGTACAAGGAAGAGTTCATGGGCCACTGAATTGTGTCCCAGTGGCTAGATGGTCTACGAAATTCACACGTAACCGGAAGGTTATGGATTCAAAACTTAGTGGGTGCGTTCTGACGATGAGTCCCCAAACAAAGAGGAAACAGCTATCAAGTACGCCCTGGTTCTCGAAGGCTGTCTGACAAATATCAATCTTCAATCATCATTGAACCGAATACTAATGCCCAATTCATTGTTAAAATCACTAGTTGCTTGTCCTTAGGGTATGAAGTCATAATGAATGATATCTCTCTGTACCTTATTGGTCTAAGCATATGTTGTGTGGTTGTGTTCTCTGAGCTGGATTTTTAATTTGAGAAGATTTCATCGCCCTACTGGGCAACATTTTAAGGGCACACTTCAATTTGGAGCAAGCTTTTAGGTTTCTCAACGAGTTTATTAGTCATATCTCGTGGTGACCTTGCAGGTGTTTAGTTGTTTTCGTCTTTTCACACCCTGTAGGCTACTTGTATTGGAACAGATTGTTTCCTCGACTTGAAATTCGACCCACTGTGTGCGAGATTCCCGTCTTATCGGTTGCTAATGTTTGTTTATCTCGATGTGTTTATTGATTAGCGATTCACTGGATTACCAGGCTACTAAAAATTCTTTCGCATTTTTAGTGTTTTCTCTGTATAATATGTAAACGTTGTTCCAGTCGAATTGATGTCCGTGGTTGCCTGTATGTAGTGATAAGAAGGAGTGTGTGTCACGTCTTTTGACGGCAAGCATACGAACATGGATACGAAGACGAAGGGGACGTCCACTTTAGCCAGTGTAGTGTGTTTCACAGTCGTTACAGTCTATTTTGTAGATGATGTCCGTTTTATCCTCTCACGGTGTTGAATCTTTGTTTGACATAAAACTGAGTGAAGTGATTTTGTTGGTTTGTATGCGACCTCAAGTCATAAAGGTTTCAAGAGACTAGCAGTGATTTCTGAGATGTGCTTCATCTCTGACGATATTATTTGTGCTTTCAATGGAGGCATTGAATTCATAGGTTGGCTTGCGGGTATCATTTCATCAAAAACCATATACATAATAATAACAGTGAAGCTTCATTTCAGACAATATGGTAAAATATGTGAGAACTATTTTCAGCATACCTAGTTCTCAAACACTTTTCTCTTCATACAGGATTTACAAGCAAAGCAATTATCGGAAATATGTCTTGATTAAATTAAGAGTTCACCTAGAATCCAGCTAAATCAGCGCACAAGTTCATGTCTAGTTCACATGCTATCACTGGACGATTGAAAAACGCAACCTCCAAGTGAATAAAGTCATTTTGGCTTTAGCGATTCAAGTAGCTCAGTGATTTAGGCAAGCTACGCAAAAATAAAAACATGATTGATTTTGAAAGGCCTTGGACAACGTTGATCGCGAAGTGATTCGGAAACTGCTTCAATACTGAATAGTGCGGCGTCTTAAACGCATATCAAGCTCATTCAAGAGTTGTCTTCCACTCCGCGGAATCTAAAGGGATAATTATAATATTGATATTGACATTTGTATATGTATATGCTCGAGTTGACATAAATAGGTGGGAGATGGTTTGATCCACTCTCCTCCAGCTGAATTAGTTAATAATCTTCCACTCACTAAATTCGCTCACTTAACCTAACGTGTACGCTGGAACACCGATGAAAAAAGAGACTCCAGTAGTAATCAATCGTGTACAAATCGTCTACCAAAAGGATGCACTGGATACAGAACTCCGCACACCGGAACAAGCTGGATTCAGGATAGGAAAATCATATACTGGTCAAATTTCAACTCTACGCATCGTCATCGAACAAAGCACAGAATGGCAGTCAAACATCTACCTTAGCTTCCACCATCAACTTCGAAAATGCCTTCAACGACATAGACCAAGAAGTAATTTGAAGTAATTTTATCTACTTACTGCGTTTGTTGATTTCCAATTTAACAATCAGTCGCTTCAGAGAAGTGACACTGTTAAAGGCTAATAGGTTTGCAGATCACCAGTAGCCAAAACAATCAATTACTTCAAAACTCTAGATGTCGTTTTTAGGTGTTTCATACAACTGAAAGTATTCTGTTGGCAATTTCATAAAGACACATTGATTCTCGTATCTAATAGTGAATGGAAAGTAGGAAGCATGCTTATGAAGTCCATTCAGTATTCAGATATCCATTTTACTGAAGAAGAGGGAGGATTGGTCCTGTCCATAGAATGCTAGTACCTTTCTACAGCTAAGTAAATTGATGAAACAAATGCACTCGGAAAAATATTGTGATCTAGGCAGTATTTTCACGTCAACAGCTCCATTTGTTTCTGATACATTTGCAAAAATGTCGTTTTACTTTTATTATAAGGTAATGAATTAGAGTTGTGTATGAAGCTATTCTATGTTTCACTGATTTCCTGGTTGATATGAGTAGGTGAATACCAATCACGTTGACTGGGTCGGCAACACTGGATCTAAACATCGACTCAACGTTTCATTGATTTTGGGTCTAACACGTGCGCTCAGAGATTCAAATTGTGTTTAGTTATTTTGACTAACTGGCACTGCATTAAACACATCAAACCGTCAGTTCACAATTTACACACTTCTAGGAAGTGAAATCTCACCACGCTTTTTCCTTGGGACACCGAAATTATTTAGATCACAATAAGTGATATGATCTGTTCAGTAACTTAAATGGCAGTCCGGAAAGCAAGCAACCACGCAGAAATGCATGACAATATATACTATTGACTGGATAGTATGACTATTTGTGGATACTGCTCACATCAAATTGCGAATTCGACTTCGACTTCTGTGCGATTTGAGTTATCAAGCAAGACCATTTATGGTGTGGAGAAATAAGTGAAAGATGACCTGCATCTGTTGAGTTGGTTATTCAGAGTAAAACAGCAATTTCGGTATTAATCAGCTGCTTAAAACCGACTAAGTAATTCTAATCCTTGAGATCACTGATGTTAAGAAGCTGAGTAGCACAAGAAATATGATATGAAACAGAGGACTCAATCATTCGACATAAATTGCAACAGTTAAACATGTAGAGCAGTTATCAGTCTTCGCTTCATGGTCATATCAATAAACTACAACCAGGTTTCATTCATTTGTATATGAAAACTGGAGCGATTTTGGATAGGAGGGATGATGAACGATATTGAGGTTAGGAGTCGGGTGCTAGGTAAGGAGAGGAGATCATTAAACGAAGCTGTGAAGTTACAGCGACTGAGATGGTTAGGACATGTGTTACGCATGCCTGCTTAGTCATCGCCTTCCTCAACAATGGGCAATGTTAGCTGACATAGGATGGATCAGGTTGAAAACGAGTCAGCTAGTGGTGGTCAAATCAACACATAGCTTCATCAGTCAGTGGAATCCACAACAGTTAGTTTAAGCTGGCCACGTAGGAAGGTATAGATTGCCTAACTGGTTGGGGTCCTCGGGACGGTAAAAACCAATGAAGGCTGGAGACAATTAGTGATATGGCTCAAAATCGTTCTCAATGGCTGGTGCAGATGCATCCACTCCTTGTGACTTACAATATCCAATAGAACTATAGTATTCTTTTTGCCTCACATCTCTGTTTACTATCTCTGTTTTGCATTTCTTTTTACTTTCTTCTCTGACTTTGTGTGCTACATGGAGGAGTGTGGCGACTCGAACTGCTGCACATCGGTGCAAAGTTTCTATGTTGAAATCAGTTAGTCAGTCAGACATGGAAATTATGAATGGATAATTTCTATTAACTAACTCGTTGAACTCATAATAGAGTTTGTAGCTTAGTGGTTAGGGGAACTCACAGCAAAATGACAGATACAAAGTATACAAAACCACTTAGAGTAGGCAGTTTAACTCTAGCTAAAAATATGGGCTTATTAGTAAATTTGTTTGTAGTGGGCCAAACACTAGTCACAACAAAAATGTTTCCGGTTAGTTTGTCCATAATGTTGTAGGACAAAATGTTCAAATAATTAAGATAATGAAATAACATATTACAATAGCAAAGTGCCAAAAGTTATTACTTGTGGGTATGGTTTGGTCTAAATACGATAAACTTCAATAAAATTGTTGGTAGAACCAAGCAGTGTACTCTATGGAGATGATGCTTCTTCACTGATTGGCTCTTGCCATTTATTGAAAGGAGATTGTGTATCAGCTGTAGGTTTCGAAAATACGATCAATTATTAAGAAAATCGGCAGAATTGTGAAATGCATTAGAACTCACGTAACAACGAGTACGTATACCTCTGTATACCAAGTGCCTCTAAAAGCTTATCAGCTGCATAAAACCTCAGGAAAACACCCTCTGCATACTCATGGAAATGCATTCAACGAAATCTATTTCTATGAAGTGAATTCAACAAAATGCAGGTTCCGTTTATTAATTATCCTTATTATGTTTCATGTGTTATTTTCCTCGACAACACTATTTGTAATGTGAGAATGGACGATTTCTTTTAGATATGTCTCGCATCCTTTCAGCTAAATGTACCTTCCGTCTTTGTGACTAAGTTGTACTAAGTGTATATTTATTTTCTTATCCTTGCTATTACCAAACGTTTTTGTACATACAAAGAGTTTATGCTGTAAAATACTTCTGACACTTTTGTTACAACTGTAATACTGATTTTCTGTGGATACTTTATGAAAATTAAGTCTTATTTACGAATGACGTCATATGTGTTTACATCATTTAGGTGGTGATGGACCTAAACGTCTTGAACTGGAAGATATACGTGAACATTATCAATTACATTCACGTGTTAAATTATTAGGAAGTTTACAACCACATGAAGTTCGATCTGTAAGTTAATATTATTGATTTTTTATTAGTAATACATTAACCACTATCTGGTTAATTGTATGAAGAGTTTATCGCTTTGTCCGCCTATATTCATTACCAACAGTTTACTTTAAATTCCTAAGATCCACATCTGTAGGTGTAATAAAGATTATTATTATTATTATCAAATATGCACAGACATAGGTGTGATGATGTTTGGATTCTCCAACTTTAATGGGCACTTGTAACAGTCAGTTATCATTTATAATTAACATGCAGGTGCGAGTCTCAAAGTTAATTTTCAAATAGTAATTAACATTTTGCACAGACAGCCTAGACAGCTACCATGAATTCGTTGAAGTACTAGCCATCATATCAAGCCATGGGAAAAACCCACCATAAGAACAACTGAAAGCACGGCCGCCATAACCATAACCATGGTCATGACCACACGTGGACTTCGTTGGGCCGGTGAATGGTGTTTATTATTTGATTCTAGTAGACGACTATTCAAAGTGGCTGGGGGTAGTGTCAACTGTCCCACCTTAGAAGCACCCACTAAAATCTTCGCATTTCATGGCATTTTGGAGAACATTATTGTATTCCACAACGGCAGTCAGTTCACATCTCAAGTATTTGAAGATTTCTGTCGAAAAAATGGTAAACAGCAGGTGTAGACGCCACCTTACCTCCTCCAGTCCAACGGCCAGGTAGAAGAGTTTGTGGACACCTTCAAGAGAGCTACATACAAACAAGGGGAGGAGCTACACCAAAAGTTATACAACAGTTCTTTTTCGTATACCTTGCCACACCTATGGCAGATAGGAAGAAATCTCGCGAGGAAGTTTTCGTGGGACGTGTCTTATGTACTCACCTTCATATAATGATGCCGTCACCACCAAATCTTCGGAATATTTCTGTGCATAGTGCACAGAAGTGTGTCCTACCTAGTCTATACTCGTGACTATCGGCCAAGAAGGGCGAAATGGATGGAAAGCCAGATTTAAGGGAAATGTTGCGCTGTGATTTACGAAGTAGAAGTGGGGCGTGAAGCAGACTACTGAATTCTATTAGTCAAGTTTGCAATATGGTCAGCGTAGTAGGTAGGCTTACCATTTACGGTTCATTCTGAATTGTCGTTATTAGATGGTTGAAGGCAATTATCAGCAGGAAGCCTTGGACATGAGTTGCTTCAAGATTGCAGATACGCTATACTGACTGGTGACTGCCAACAAGCACGACACCTAGGTCCAAGGCTTCCTGCCGATTGCCTCCAACCGTCTAATAACAGTACACTGTATAAGCTTGTCGTGCAGACTAATAGCATAATAGTCATGTCAGTGGTGATGAAGAATCAATTCTCATACGCTTTACTGCCAGCATATTTTGTCGAATCAAGTTCTAACTGATATATCAGGAATCGGATAACTACTTTAGATGTTACGCAATACTAAAAACTGCTTCACAGCATAGTTTCGATTCATTTCTCTAAATTATATGTATATTTAAATACATATCTTTGTTTCCCCAGGTTTTAATCCAAGGAGACATTTTTCTGAATACATCACTCACAGAAGCATTTTGTATAGCAATTATTGAAGCAGTTTCTTGTGGGTAGGTCGTAGCATTAAAATATTTTATATAGCATAGAATTTTTTTGTATTTACTTTGTTTTGCTGACTACAGTTCCCTTTTTATGTTTTAATTTCTCTTTTTTATTTTTATCATTATATCGTTCCTTTGTGTTCAGAGCAGTGGAACATAGGGTTTCAAGCCTTTAGTTTTGAAGTTTCCGTAGCTGTGGTGTTGATTTCCCTTCTTACAGGGTGCAGGGGGAGGGTCGCTAGCCTCATGCTCCACCTTCCCTCTTTACCAGGCTTACTATCTACCAGTAGTAAACTAGACGAGGTTTAAGAGTTGTGCATCTGTGGGGAATCGAATCCGGACCATATGCGTGGTACACAAGGATTCTATCACTGAAAGTGAATGTGAGTACTTTCTTAGTACTTATGAATTGAAATAAGAAGCAGTAGACTTTGCTGAATTATTTTTCATATATAGGTGTCTAAAAATCAAGTTTTCTTTTAGAAATTAACATGAACATCGGTAATTTCAGTCTCAAGTCATATGTATGTTTCTAATATAAAAGTCATTGTTTTGTTGTGTGTAAGAAAAACAATTTTTGAGCACTTGTTTACTCTTCTTTATTCATGTAAACATTTCATATTTAATCTAAGAAAATCAACCTCATTGGTTTTATTTGTAGTAAGTGATTCAGTTTACTCGAGAAAGCAACCTCTGTTTTGTTCTAGTAATCTGTACACTCTGTCTACTCTAAACATAAATATGTTGTTTACTTGTTTACTTAAAGGCTGCTTATACATCAGTTGTATAGTTATGCCGCTAAGTGGTATATACATGCAAATGACGAGTCATAAATAGGATGAAATTTGCATCTTGGATTCCACTGCTAGCCGCGATCCACCAAAATTACATAGATTTTGTTCAACTCCACAGATAGGCATTGCTTCTTTAACACTCATTAAACTAGAATCTTTATCTCCGCTAACTACCCTGAATGACTTCCTGCTGTGCAAAACACTACAAAGTAGCACTTTTACTCAGTTCATCTCACTGGTAAACGGTGTATAGAAAAGGATCAACAAAGTTAAGGATGAGGTGTAGGGTAAAGGAGAAAAAAGCACAGTTAGTCATCTAGGAGTATGATCTGCGATTTACAACCATGACCTAGCAAGTGATTCTTCATAACTCGTAAATATTATAAATCTATGTTTTATTTCGCAAATACGTTACCTTCCTGGTTGATCCTAGAAAGTTCAGTTGCACGTTGATTATCATTTCAATTCAGTAATATTAAGCTACATTATATGTTCTCCAAAGTGAATCACTGAATGACGTTAGATCTGTTTTTTCAAGTCATCAGTGCCATTGAAGACCTTATTTTTCACTACATTTTTGTTTCTTCTTTCTTCAGTCTTATGGTTATCAGTACGGCAGTAGGTGGACTCCCTGAAGTACTACCAGAACACTTCATTCGACTTGCTCCAGCGAAAGCTTCTGAGCTAGCCTCCGTTGTCGCTGATTCAATCATTCAAGTTCGTCAACTACGTAAAAATTCAAAGTTAACAAATGATATGAATGAGTCTTGTGATCACTTAACCTCAGATAAGGTGAGTTACAATGTGATGAATTATTCAGAAATAAAAGTGTTACCATGCAGTTTGCCAAAAGAATCGATGATGATTGTTTCAGTGTATTTTGTAGTTTATTTTGTGTGCTGTATGGAGTGTAGCAACCTGAACTGAGACATTTCTGTGTACGAAATTCTACATTGAAAACTATGTCAGTCAGTTAGCAATAATGTGAAATATTTAAATCTTGCTTGTATTGAAGTTCTATGGTGATAAACCCACCTCATGTATACCAAGTATTATTATTTCTGAAAATATATTAAGTAGTATCTCATGAGGCTAATATATTTACTGTCTTATACTTATAGAATACATTGTAGTTGTATAAGTTACGCGGTTATTTAAAATGTAGTAGGTGCAACAAAGTTTGAATGCAGGTTTCGATTAAAAGTTAGGCGTTTGTGGAAACTAGTCACACTTCCACTAATGATATAACATTTTGCCATATCAACTTCTTCTTACTTTACATTTTAGCATGTAATACAATTTAAAATAGGCATATGTGAGATGAAAGATGGGATTTAATCATTAGAAATGGTTCCAGTAATTCTATTAGGAATGTGAAACTGTGTAACACAATACTCGTTTTACTCCATAGCCTTTTTAAGCATGATTTCACGCGCCTTCCTCGACGGGCTGTGTTAGCTGAGATTGAGTCAGGCTGGAAAAGAGCCAGCTAGTGGTGGTCAAACCAACACATAGTTTCATCAGTCAATGAAATCCACAACAGTTAGTTTAAGCCGGCCACGTAGGAAGGTGTAGACTTCTTCTCTGGTTGGGGTCCTCGGGACGGTAAAAACCAATGAAGGCTGGAGACAATTGGTGAAAATATGGCTCAAAATCGTTCTCAATGGCTGGCGCAGATCCATCTACTCAACGTAACTTATAATTTCCAATAAAACTATATTGATCTTCGTTATTACCATTCCTTTTGTCTCATATCCCTGTTTACTGTCTCTATTTTGCATTTCTTCTACTTTCTTCTCTTGTTTGGTGTGCTACATGGAGTGAGTGTGGCGACTCGAACTGCTGCACATCGGTGCAAAGTTCTATGTTGAAAACAGACAGATTTAACGCGCATGCACACTTGCATTAAATCAGTCAGATTTTGATTTTGTAACTGTTCCTTTATTTTGCTATTGATAGTAGAGATTTTCAAAATATTCTCATTGACCTGTTATATTATCGCTGTTAAGGTGTATTGAGTGATGATTTGATAGAGAAGTAATCAGCAGTCAGTTCATTTCTTATGTTGAATATTCTGAAATTCAACTGCCATTTATAAATCATACAATAAGGATCTGTAGTGCTATTGCGGCGTGTGATACTGAAAAAAATCTATCAGTAGTATATGGACGCAGATTGATAGGAGGGTAGCTAAAATTGAAAACAACATTTTAGGTCGGTGGCCGTAGAAGTAGGAGTGTTTATTCCTCAAATTTCGATTGAGTTTACATTGAATATTGAGTCGAAAGTTGTCCATGACAATAAACTGTTCGGATTGTTTATTGATTTTTTGAAGGTTAAACCTTGAGATTATTTGCTGACCACAACGTAAACTAAATCCAGATTTGAGAAATAAACACTTCTACCTCTGTAGACATTGAATTTTGGCTACTTCCTATCAATCTGTGTCTATATACTACTCTGATAAATCTTTTGAGTAGCACACGCCACACTATATGTAAAATGGAAGCTTTCAATTGATATACTTATTATGATATGATAATAGTGACATCCAATTATTTCAGTAAGGCAATTCAATAAATGATTCTATATCAACTGAAAAAGTGAACTGAGTTCTTTCATTCCTTTGCATGTTCTGAGTGCAGCATATAGGGCTTCAAACTTTACAGTTTTGAAGTTCCAGTAGCGCTTGTGCTGTTTTTACAGGTCGGGGTTGCCACGCGCCTCACGCCTGATCTTCCCTCCTTTCTGGTCTTACTAATGGCTTGGTGAAGTTTAGGAGTAGTGTGCGCCAGCCAAGAATGGAAGCCGGATGAAGTGATGATAAATTTCTACTTTTATAGCTCTTTTTTATCAAAAAGATGTAATTTTGTCGTACATAAATTAACGCCATACACTTTATTTTTTTTATTTTCATATATTAATCAAATAAAAAGTCAGAAGTATGTAGACCTCCCAATCCTTTATGTCGATTTTCACTAGCAACGAATGCGTTGAAATATATCGATGGTACTGAATACCAGTGTAATTCAATTACTGATCATTGTTGGCATATGCACAAATGGATACGTGGTACATATTCATGGCCTAAAGTTGCTAAACGTACAGAAAAAGTCTATTCTGCTGCTATGTCCAGACCAACTGTATCATTACGGAAGAGAATAACCAGGTAAAAATAAGTAATGCTTTATATTATTAATATTATTAGTATTAATAATAATGATTATTATTATCATAGTTAATTGCGGATGATTTATGTTTGATGTCACACAAAATCGAAGACTTACAAGCGAAAACCGACAAACTGGTCAAAGAAGCAGCAAAGACAGGACTCCAGGTGAACATAGACAAGACGGAGGTTATGAAAATAACCAACCAACAACAACAACAACAGCAGCAGCAACATCCACCGCCAATCACCATCAACGGGAGGGATTTGAAAGAGGTTACTTCATTCACTTATCTAGGGAGCATTGTCTCAACTACAGGAGGAACGGACGAGGATGTCAAATCGAGAATCGGGAAGGCGAGAAACACATTCATCAACCTGAAACCAATCTGGAAATCTTCGTCACTCAGCATCAACAACAAAATTCGGATTTTCAATACAAACGTCAAGTCAGTTTTTCTATACGGATCAGAAACTTGGCGGGTCACAAAGAATATTTCCAACAGCCTGTTGCAGACCTTTATCAACAGCTGTCTTCGCTCTATACTGAAGATCAGATGCCGGAAAGAATCACCAACAAGAAGCTATGGGAACAAACAAAACAAGAACCAATCGCCCAACAAATATGCAGGAGAAAGTGGAGATGGATTGGACACTCGCTGAGGAGGCCACTGCTGGGTGACATCGCGCGTCAGGTCCTCGAGTGGAACCCGAAAGGGAAGCGGCGAGTGGGACGTCGAAGGGTGACATGGAGGAGATCGTGTGAAGAAGAGTTGAAACAGTATGGACTAACATGGATGCAGGTGAAAAGTACAGCAGAAGACAGAAGCAAGTGGAGACGTGCAGTTGAAGCCCTATGTTCCACTAGGAACCCAAGGGAACAATAATAATAATAATAGTTAATTGCATCGATTGGCATCAAAGTGTGTCAATACGTTTTCATCCTTCTTGAATTCCTTTGATTTCTTTGTTCATGTTGATTGGAATAGTTCTGTCAAAAAGTTTTCATCATCAGTTTAAATAAAATCCTAAGGATAAGTAGAATTCCTTTGAGTGTCATTGTGAAATTTGGCTGTTCCTCTTACACATTGTATATGCTAGTACCTGACTCAAATATACAACTGTGGCTTTTAATGAATTCTGTTGTGTGTGTGTTTTATAACGAAGACGAAAAGCCATTTTTCGTCGACTTGAATGAATAAAAGCTCTGAAAAGCTTTAGAAATTTTTCTATTTGGATTAGCGAAATTATAAAAATAAGTCATCCATGTGAATATTGTTCATTTGATCAATCAACACCAATGTCAAGTCAGTCCTTCTATACGGGTCAGAAATTTGCACTGCGTGTGTCACGAAAAGGATTTCCAACAGGTTGCAGACTTTTATCAACAGCTGCCCACTTCACTGGCTCCATACTGAAGATCAGATGGCAGGCGAGAAAGAATTACTAACAAGAAACTCTGGCTGACTGGCTGGGAGCAAACCAACCAAGAAGAGCTGATCGCTCAACAATGTAAGATAAAATGGAGATGGATGGATCGGGCATACATTGAGAAGACCGTCGAATGACATCGCGCCAACGCTTGAGTGGAATCGAAATTAGAAGTGACGAGTGGGTCGTCGTTGTGAGGGTGAAATGGAGGAGATCGTGTGAAGAGGAGATGAGAGATTATGGGCAGTCGTGGACCCAGCTGAAGAGGGCGGCAGAAAATAGAAGAAAGTGGAGATGTATTGTTGAGGCCCTATGTTCCAATCGGAACCCAAGGGATTAATAATAATAATAATTGTATTATCAATCAGAGATGGAATGTAAAACCAGTCTGATTAATGGACATGAGTAGTTTTAGACACCACTCATAAACCAGTAATCCTTGCTAACGAGACTGAAGTTATCTAAGCACCGGACATGCGTTCCACTCATCAGCCGTATACCGGAGTTTGACTCAGCTCAGAGATCTGAATCACAGTTCAAACCACCCAAATTCTGGCTAGCTACTTAGACGAACCTGTTATGTATGGAATGAAATTCGTCATTTGCAAATTGCAGATTTCGAAGTGAAATTTCAACACATTTCCACTTGAAAACCAAAATCATCTAGATCACATTACATAATCTGCTTGATACCATAAGTGCTAATCGAGAAAGCAAGCGTCAATGCATGATATTATATACTAATAGTAGTAGGGATAAGTTCCATCCAGCTACTCATATCACTTAAACAGCAGTCGAACTCGACCTCAAACGGGTGGAACGACCGTTCGGTATTTAATGTCTCTTCGAACTGGCTAGCAGGCACTACTGGTTAATCTGAATGTTATTCAACTACTCATCTCAGTCAATCAGTAGTATACAGCAGTTTGATGCATTTATGCTTGGTTTCTTGATTACCTTTTTATGGTGTCAACCAGATGATATATTGTACGTATGCGTAGTCTTCAATATTCTGATTTGTCTGTTGTTGTTGTGTTTTTTTTCCTAATAATAAAGGTTATATCAACTTGGACCATTCACAGGGAAACTGACTTTTTTCATAGCCCTATTACATTGGCTTTTTCTTCAGTTTTTGTGTTGGATTCGACCTGAACAGGTTAGTTAGTTAGTTAAGATTCCTTTTTGTAGAACTTCATTTTTTAAAAATAAGTTCTCGCAGTACTTTGAAACTGTTTATCTAGCTCACCTTTTCTATTCGTCTTCTGAGTAAACTGCATTCTTGAACGCAGTGTATGCTTACTTCTGATGAATTGTGTAATTCCTATATTCAACTGTGAATAAACACCTTTGCTAAATTAAATTAATTAGGACTCTGTTGATTCGAAATTCATGTGAAGATGTATGACATTGACAAGCGGTATATACATACGGTATATATACAATACCAATCAATTTATACTGCTGGAAACACCTTGATTAGTTCATATTCTTGAATGTGTGTGTGTACGCATCATTTGAGTTGTGTCAGTTGTTAAATTGTCAGATGGACGGACAGCACATGAGATTACAGCCTTTTTAAATGCTTCGTTGTTGAAAACACCACCTTTTTTGAAAGTCTTTCTGAGGCATTTCAATCAATATACTGTAGTGAAAATTCAATTCAGTGACAAATATGCACATGTGTTAACTCCTCATTCTCGTATTCTATATCTATTCAAATAATTCTTGTGATTAACATTATTATTTTCGTATATCTGCCTATACACCATAAAAGGAGCAAAACACTTGCTTACAATAATATTAGCTTGCTAAGATAAAGCTTCCTCAGAAGTTGATCATTTATCCTGTTCTGTGTGTTGTAATTCACTAGGGATATGGTAATTGATCTGACTTTACAGCTAATGTAGTTAATGATGACTGAACTGTTTACAGTGCGTCGGTGGTATAGCGGTTAGGGTGCTCGCCGACCATGCACATGGTCTGGGGTTCGGTCCCCGGCCGACGCACTCCTTTACCTCGCTAAGCCAGAAATAATGCTGGTGAAGAAGGAAAGGTTGGGCATGAGGCTAGCAACCCCATCCTGTAAAATAAACACTGCTACAGAAACTTCAAGCCACTAGCTTGAAGCCCTATGTTCCACTGGGGAACGTGAAGGAAAAAAAAAAAAGAACTGGTTACAGGTGTCATCATGAGAACCATTGGAAAACTGGGAGTACCGGACAACTGTCTCGTCCTAGTTTAGGACCCTTCATCAGTAAACACCCACTGCCAGGGTTCGAACCCAGGACCTTCTGGTTACAAGGCGAGTTTGTAAACCATCAGGACAGAAGGTCCTGGGTTCGAACCCTGGCAGTGGTTGCGTATTGATGAAGAGCTTCAAACTATGTCGAAACAGCTGTCCAGTACTCCTAGATTTTCCAATGGTTCTCTAACCGACCGATTTCAGCTCATGATGAAATCCTGTAACTAATCAATCAAATCCCTATAGACCAATACTTGAATTATGGATGACTGAACTGTTCAACATCACTAGTGCTCCTATCACTTATCAGACAAAACCTACTGTGTTCAAAGCCTAATTAAAACACGGTTGGCAGTGGCACTGTTGCTACCTACGTGGATAAGAAAAATCGATTGAGTATTCTCAAGTTCGCCAGTGCGAATCATTTTCATGACCACCTATTTCACTATTTTTCTTTCCAGTAGAATGAAGAAGTCGTTTTCCTAAATTGTAGTACAGTAGATTAATTAATTTTATTTCTTTTACGTTCTGACTGGAACACAGGGCTTCAAGCTAGAGGTTTGAAGTTTCATTAGCAGTGGTTTTATTTTTTTTCATGGGAGGGGGTTGCCTGCCTTTCACCCAACCTTACCAGATTTACTATCGGCTTAGTGAGGTTTGGCAGTGCGTCAGCTGAGGATCGGACGGCGCATCACATGCGTGGTTGGCTAAAGTTCTTCGGCTGAACCACTGACGCGTATACAGTAGATTAAATTTGTATCATTAGAATGACCGAGAATCAACCAACAAGTATGTGTGCATGTATGTATGTATGTATGTGTATATCTGAAACACACAGTGTACTTAGTTTTTATAGTCTTCAAGCGAACTCAGCCATTTACACGCTGCTTATATTGACAAACATTCACTTAATCATTGTCATTTATTTGGGAATCATCAATAGATTTAGATCACTGCAGATTGACTCACTCCATGTAATTGTAAGTGAATAGATAAACCAGTTATGACCCCATTGTTGTATGAATGTATTGAATAATGTGACTGTATGAATATTTACAAATCTCAGGTCTTCATTTCAACTTCACTTCATCTTGACCACACTGAAATAACATCAGTCTGATAAAGCAGAGAACATGTTTCTCAATTTAGATTATGAATGCAAAGCTTATTAGTAGTATAGTTGCTTACTGTTTCTTTCAAAAGGGAGTAATAGTTTACCTATATTGATGTAAATAAAAAGGTATACTGGAGATTTGTAGCTCATGTTGGTGATTTTGGTGTGCCTATGCTCTTGGACCTGGAAGGTTTAGCGGAAAAGCTTTCACTGTCTTATTAGACAAAGTCTTCAGTGCCTACTTCATTTTAAAGCGAAATGCAATCAAAGCTTCACAGCTAAGTCATCCCAGCACAGTGAATACAACGATAACAACATAAAAAGTGTTTTCCTTCGTTGGACAACGATATCTTCTCAAAAGTTTGTAAACCATGGACAAATTGAGTTGGCGGTGTGTGTGTGAGTATTTGATTCTTTTTTAAAGCTGAAAAATGAAGCAAGTAAACCATTTTAATCTTATTTGTAGTATGTCTTCAAATTCTTCTGTTAGAAATACAAATATCCGCATAGAAACTTAATCAGTTATTCAATATTTTTGTAAATCTAAACCTTCTATTTATTCGCATAGTGAATAGTTAGTTAGTAATTTATTGGTGAAGAAAAAGAAGAATGACCACGTTTCATGCAAAAGACGATAAAGTAAACCTTGATATATGACTGACTGGTTTCAACATCGAACTTTGCACCGATGTGCAGCAGTTCGAGTCACCACACTCACTCCATGTAGCACATCAACCAAGAGAAGAAAGTAGAAGAAATGCAAAACAGAGATAGTGCACAGAGATACGAGGCAAAAAGAATAGTAATATGGAGGAACCATATAGTTTTATTGGATATTGTAAGTCACATGGAGTAGATGCACCTGAACCAGTCATTGAGAACGATTTTGAGCTATATCAATAATTGTCTCCACTCTTCATAGGTTTCTACCGTCCCGAAGACCCCAACCAGTCAGGAAGTCTACACCTGCGTGGTCGGTCTAAACTAACTGCTGTGGATTTCACTGATCGGTGCCGGTGAAGAAAAAGAAGAATGACCACGTTTCATGCAAAAGACGATAAAGTAAACCTTGATATATGACTGACTGGTTTCAACATCGAACTTTGCACCGATGTGCAGCAGTTCGAGTCACCACACTCACTCCATGTAGCACATCAACCAAGAGAAGAAAGTAGAAGAAATGCAAAACAGAGATAGTGCACAGAGATACGAGGCAAAAAGAATAGTAATATGGAGGAACCATATAGTTTTATTGGATATTGTAAGTCACATGGAGTAGATGCACCTGAACCAGTCATTGAGAACGATTTTGAGCTATATCAATAATTGTCTCCACTCTTCATAGGTTTCTACCGTCCCGAAGACCCCAACCAGTCAGGAAGTCTACACCTGCGTGGTCGGTCTAAACTAACTGCTGTGGATTTCACTGATCGGTGCCGTGTTTTAGTTTGACCGCCACTAGGTGTTTTCCATCCTGACCCTATGTTAGCTAACATCACCAGTCGAGGAAGGCGATGACTACGCAGGCATGCGTAACACATGTCCTTACCATCTCAGTCGATGTAACTTTACAGCCTCGTCGATTGATTTTCCCTCCTTACCTAGCACTGGACCAAATGCCAACCTCAATATTACTCACCCTATTACACCACTTCACATGGGAGATAGAACGCAGGCACCTATGATCAAAGACAGCTAACCGGCCATTTTATGTCTTTCACTCTCAATGGCTAGGTCTCACTCACAGTCATAAAGGAGGTTGGCAGTAGTACAAATGTCTTTTGGTCGATAGCTGGATATAATCTTGCAAATATAATTTAAAAGGCTGATTGGTCAGCAAAGAGAATCTTTTTTAGATAACTTCTATAAGTTCTACAGTTACACGCCCCCATAATAATTAAAGAATTGTTCGCATATTAACAACATTATCGTATTAAATCACACCAACCCATAAAACAATCTATTAGTGATAATATGCATCGATGTTACACTAAACTGAATACTGACTCAGCTGCTCCTGTGGAGACAGTTACATTGGCTAGAAACTCAGCTTTCCGTGTACGGGAACAACTAACAGTTCTCTGACTAAGTAAAAGTGCAGTAAATAATACCAACAGTTTGATATTAGCCTATCAGGTTTAAACACTTCATTCAGGTAAATTGCATTGAATAATCTCTTTCTACCATCTATCAGGTAACAAAATGATTGCTAAAAGCCTCTAGCTAGGTAGGTACCCAATACTTCAAACAGCAGAGGCCATTGCAATTTGCCTAATATAACCAGAATTTCATGTTCAGAAGGAAAAAATGGTCCATTTACTATAGCTACTTGGAAGCAATTCATAGGGGTTCTTGGACCTAGATTTCGTGCTAGTTGGCGCTCGTCAGCAAGGCGAATCTGAAACCTTCTGAGATTCGAACCCCTGCCACTCAGCACTGCAGTCAGAGACGTTACCACTGAGTTATTCAGGCTCGCGATTGACCTCCTTCAGGAATGTATTGGATACTTTGATTGGACTAGTGTCATATGTTTCTTGTGCAGACTGAATTCTATCAGTCAATTTTGCAATCTGGCCACCATGCCAGGTGAACTCTGAATTTCTAATGTTAGATGGTTGGAGGCAATCGGCAGGAAGCCTTGTACCTAGGTTTCGTGCTAGTTGGCACTCATCAGTTTAGTGTTATATTGGAGCAAATTATCACTTACACATTCTTTTAAACTGTTATCTATCGAAATTCTGATCCAATATTATTTTTTTTTCAATATTAGCGTTGTTAATAACAATAATTCTTTAATTATTGTCGACGTAACACTGTAAAAGCCGTTGAAGGAGTTGTCGAAGAGAATATTCTTTGTTCAGTAATCATCAGTCTTTTGACGTCTTCAATGAGACATTTTAACTAGAAAAAAATCATGAATCAATAATTCTGTATTCCATGCCTAAATGAATCCAAACAAGAGAACAAACCTCAATAATAAAAACAAACAACAAATTACAATCAGAAAAGTATCATGAAATTGAAATCATTGACATGACTATAAATAACACTTCTTCGACTGCAATTAAAGTATCATTTTTTGACTGTTTTGATTGGAAAAGTTTCTGATAGCCCTCGTTTTTCTCACATTACTCAAGATAATTGACTGATTGATACATTCTGGTTCTTTTTTTCTGCTGTTTGTTTGATGTAACAGAAGTGTTGAATTAACACCATTAACCAAAGATTAATTTCACTCCATTTTATGTTGCTTTTCTTTTAAATATTTCAAAATAGATGATTGATATTCTTCCTTCGATTGACACACCAATTGAAGACTTCAGTGACAATGATCAAGAGGATTCGTCAATCCACAAGAGCGATACTGTTCATTAGTAGTAGTATTATTCAAAAGTGCAGGTATACTTAACACACACACACACACATGACCTTTCTATGTAAATATTGGTTTATTAATATTAAAAATGTAAAACTCCCAGTGTAATTTATTTGAATTACTTTTATAAACTTCATCTCTGCTTGAATTGATATTTAGAATATAATAAATAAATAAATATGTATTTTATGCGTGATGTGAACATTTTCAATTTCCATATTGTTCTAGTATGGTGGGTGAGGGCTGGCTGCTAGCCAAAACTGGTAGATAGAGTAATTTACGTCAATGTGTACATCTGCAATATTGGTCGTGAGGAAACTAAGATCGAAGACTGACCCAACAACCAATCACAGCAGACTTTGCGTAGGCGGATACAATTTGAAGATAGATAATCTGAACTTCAAGAAACGGTCACAAAGAGATGAAAGATTAAGGTTCAGCGAGAAACCACCAATCAGAAGACTGTGTTTGTTTGCTTACAATAATCTATAATAATGTACATGAAAATATATAAATATGTGTTGATTTCCTAAATAAACGATCTGTTGCCTGGCGCTTGTCTTCTGTTGTCACATTAGTATTTCCTGTCTTCATATTCAAAGGCAAATTTTATCGATACTTCAATTAGCAGAACATCTCTACAGCTCTACACACCTCAGACTGATGACAATAACAAATGTGCGTGATTGCAGCTCATAAGCCCTTGAAAGTTTCACATATCTTAGCCAAGTCCTAAATACTCCTAAATATCTTCAACCAAACAATTTGCTTTCTCTTACTTTTGATAACCAAACGTCATTGATTCATTTGTGATAAGCTTTCGCAAGCTTTACAAGTAACATGAATCACTACTGTCAGTACATCGGGTGAAACAGCTTTAATTGTATGCTTTCCTCTTCTGGAATTTCAACACTGGGATGATGTTGTTGATACATTTTCATACTTGCATGTTATGGTAGAGTCAAATGGTGATGTCATAAATGAAGATCGATGGAAACTTGGATCGATGAATATGAATTGTCGAGGTTGTTACCAGCTGGGACTACTCAGATACGGCAGGATTATTACTATTATTATTCCGTTGAGTTCTGAGTGGAATAGACGGTTTCAGCGGCACATCCAAATTCCACCCTGTTCTTTGTAATTAGTTTTATTTGGTCATACAAATGCTTGTCAAGTCGTCGGTTCCCATTTGGTTCCACTCAGCGTGTTTTTGATGCATTTCCTACTGCATATTTGTTGAGTGATAAGTCCCTTCTGCTGAATGCTGGAGATTTCCACTCTGGTTCCATATTGATGAAGATCTCTCTTACTGTGGCTCTCCCGGCTTTCGACATGTGAATCTGTGATGTCCGTAGTTGAAACGATACTGCCCAAATAAATAAAAGAAGTGACTTTCCTTTAAATTTTGTCCGTTGATAGTGATTGGTGCTTTTTGTTGTTGTTGTTTAAGTACCTTAATCATTTCTGTCTCCTCTACGTTCACTTGAAGTCCTGTCTTTTCTGCTTCTTCTGCTAACTTGTTGGTTTTCGTCTAGAAGGGTCTTCGAGTTTGTGTGATATTAAACATGAATCGCTCACGAAGTCTACATCTTACAGTCTCTTTCTTGTTCCATACAGTCAGCCGCAGTATCCAGTCCAGCATAATTAGGTGTATCATTAGTGGTAGTGGGCATCTTTGTCTTACTCCTTCACTGGGCTTTGCGTTCCGTATCATTTGGCAGCATTATATAGCAGTTGAATGAGGTTGATTAAGGTTCGGGGTACTCCTTAGTTTTTGAGCAGTTTCAAAATTACTTTATGGTCAACACTGTCGAGAACCTTCTCAACTAAATGAAGTTGAAGTAGAGAGTTGACTACTATTCTATGCTCTTTTTGATGATGATGATGATGCGTGATTTGCTTCTCCTGAATTCTGCTTGTTCATGGTAGTCTGTTTTCAACATAGAACTTTGCACCGATGTGCAGCAGTTCAAGTCGCCACACTCACTCCATGTAGCACACCAACCAAGAGAAGAAAGTAGAAGAAATGCAAAACAGAGATAGTAAACAGAGATACGAGGCAAAAAGAATAGTAATATGGAGGAACAATATAGTTTTATTGGAAATTATAAGTTACGTTGAGTAGATGGATCTGCGCCAGCCATTGAGAACGATTTTCAGCCACATCACTAATTGTCTCCAGCCTTCATTGGTTTTTGCCGTCCCGAGGACCCCAACCAGTCAGGAAGCCAGTCTACACCTTCCTACGTGGTCAGCTTAAACTAACTGTTGTGGATTTCACTGACTGGTGCCATGTTTTAGTTAGACCACCACTAGATCTTTCCCAACCTGATCCATCCTATGTCAGCTAACATTACTCATTGTCGAGGAAGGCGATGACTAGGCAGGCATGCGTAACACATGTCCTAGCTATCTCAGTCGATGTAGCTTCACAGCCTCGTCGATTGATTTCCCCTTCTTACCTAGCACACGACGCCTAATCTCAATATTGCTCACTCTGTTTCACCATTTCACGCAGACACCTATGATCAAAGACAGCTAGCTGGCCTTTTTATGTCTTTCACTCTCAATGGCCAGGTCTCACTCACAGCCATAAAGGGAGACGGAGTGGACTGCTGAGCAGTACACACGTCCTTTGGTCGACAGCCAGCCGTATATCACGTCTACTAAGCCAGAGACGGCGTGAACTTGTATATGCGAAACTAGCCTTCTGTATGCATGCTGAGATTTCGTCAGCGATCAACACGCTGCCTTTGGCTGATGCAACTTCCCAAAGAAGTGAAGTGTTCACCACGCTTAGCCACCACTTCGCTCACTCCCTATGTTTGAGCTAGGAGTAGTCGATTTAGTACACTCCTGTAGTATCATCTTTTATTTGACGGGAGCAAATCGCATGCCAGGCATTCGAAAATTGCTGCTGCTCAAGTCAAGTTGTTCAGAAGACTCTGCATTTTGTCAGCGTCTTCACCTAGAAGGACTATATCATCTGCATATTCTATGTCAACAAGATTATTCCCTGGTAGCAAGTCAATCCCTGAGTCTCTAAAGTGAGTTAGGGTTAAGTTTATTAGTACATCTATGATGAAATTGAAAAGAAATGGGGATAATGGGCATCCCTGATGGACACCACTAGTTGTCACCACTTCAGATGACAACTCACCGTAAGCTCTCACCTGGCTCGCTGCATGAGTTTGAGTAGAGTGCCTTGATCATTGGAAGTTCATGGTAGAGTTTTACATCTAGGGCAGACGAATACTTGCATCAAATAGACAAACAGTTCAGAGTGAATTCCATGTACTGCTAAAACTGGATTTAGTCCTCTTATTTCATAATTCCCACCGCTTCACATTTTACCGATGGTTTGACTGTTTGTAAGCTATGTTACTGGGAGAACAGTGGCAGGTGGACATCCTATGATACACCACGTGAATTCTCAGCCAACAGACTGGAGGACTTTGTGAAAACAGATTTGACAATTAATATTTCTTTTCTACGTATATCATTCAATCTGAAGAGCTAGCTATACAGAGAAATCATAAATACATAAGTCACGTTATTCACACCTACGTGGTGAATATAAATTTCTGACTAGCACACTATAATATGAGTAGATGCAACATCTAGGAATTTTTAAAAAGATGGTTGCAGCGAAGACAATTTTTTTTTTCGACGAAGTCATCGACTAGGCTGTACATTCGTATATTTATGATAAATGCGTGGGAAACTTCCAGAATAATTTCCGATCAAGGGTCAAATTAATAAAATTACCATTAAGAATTAAAATGCTATAATAAACAGGGGGACGGATAAAATTCAAACAAAGTAGCATCATAATCACTGAGATGATTGATATATTGAGCAATTGGGGGGATAGAAATGTAGAAATAACAAAAATAGACAGGAGGTTGGACAAAAATCTAGTGGGATCATAACTAATGTGACGAATAATTGTTTATGCAGATTGGGGTTAAATATGTAGAAATAATAAAATGACAAAATAGACAGGAAGTTCGGATATGAAAATATGGTAGTGTAAATGGGGATTAAGATAAACATAAAAAATAACATGGATAAACAGGAAGTTTGGATAAGAAAGGCAATGGGATAGTCACTATTAAAAGAATGACCTGTTTATGATGGCCACGACAGGGACAAGGGTTGGAGGTATTTCTATTGGATACATAGCGTGGGTTTGAGCTTTTGGATGGCTGGTGTCTCGGCTATGCCCAGACGTCTTAATTTTACTCCCTTTGATAGGTTTGATCGAGTCTTGTATATTATTTCGAAGGATTTTTCGAATGGCGCTGAATGTCCTGAATTGACTAGATGTTCTGTCACTGAAATATATAACCGTTTTTGTTCTCCTTTTACTAGCCAGGTTGGATAGTGTTCAGGAGCGCGTTTTTCAAGCTGACACATGGTATGGCCGATGTACTCAGCTCCGCAAGAGCAAGTTAAATGGTTTATGCACGCTGAAGTGGCCCAATGCGACAGCTTATCTTTCTCAGTCTGGCTGAACAGTTTCTTGCAGGAATTTATTCTCCAGCAGTTGGCGTTATCGATATTCACTCCACTATGAGTGAATATAAAGCAGAATACCATCACTTCAATCAACATAAAGAATAGTGAACATGCTGTGCGAGCGCAAACTATTTGCTAGATTATGGAACCTGCCGTTATTACAGCACCATTATGAACTATGCGCATGAACTGATGTGAAAATTTCATTCTGATATAGTTTTCAAGCAGTGTTTGAACTATGGGTTGATAGCAGGTTAGAGTGAGGGTGTTTTACTATCATTATTATTATTATCTGTACTTTTCTTGTAAATAAACAAATGGGAGGAGCGTGTTTCGTTGTTCATATAATTGAAACCATTATGATACTTATGAAACTTGGAAACTGAAATCCTCCATTGTAATTGGGAAGTATTTCTTAGTTACTTCAGGGTAAGATTTCCTCTTTAATATGCTTCATAATCATTATGTTAATTTTTCTGGTAAATAAACGGCTTTTTGATATATAATACACAGCAGTTTCTGCGATGCAACAAACGACAGGCAGTCAGGGTCATTGGTGCCTTCACACTACCTGGTCGCTTTTCATTTTGTGTGACCTCACTTCTTTGTTCATATACTGGCTGCTAATTA